GTTTAGGGTTTACGGGTTTGAGGTTTAGGGTTTATAGGGTTTTTCACATATGTTGGTTTAGGGTTTTTGGGGTTTGAGGTTTAGGGTTTAGGGTTTTTCACAGATCTTGGTTTAGAGTTGAAGGGTTTGAGCCATAGTGAGCCTTAACTTGCGCTTCCAGGGCCGTGGAGGTCCCTACACCCTCAACCTTGAAGCTTAGCGGGAAAGGCCAAACAGAATCCAAAGGAGCCAATGCTTGCTCTAAGGGTCCATGTGCCTAAACCCTAAAACAGAACCCTAAACATGTGCCTGAATAGTATATACTTTGACTTTGGCCTGAATGTAGTCGCTACATAGGTCCCAGGTACACTCAGGGGAATACTTTGGGTTTAGGGTTTAGGGTTTAGGGTTTAGGGTAGGCTTCCCCAAATCATAATCCCTAAGGGTCCATGTGCAAGTATAGTATATACTTTGGCCTTAATGTAGTCCCTATATAGGTACTCTAGGGCCAACGTATACATAAGTTGGGCACATGGACCCTAAAACCCTAAACCCTAAACCCTTAAACCCTAAACCCTTAAACCCTAAACCCTAAACCCTCAACCCTTTAAAGGAACCCTTAAAGGAGCCCTTGTTGAGCACATGGGCCCTTAGGGTTTGCGACGAGCCCGGAGACCAAAGGACAACGCAACTTGGAGGTTTAGGGCTCAGCGGCTCAGGGGGTTTAGGGTTGGGTTTAGGGTTTAGGGTTTAGGGTTTAGGGTTTAGGGTTTAGGGTTTAAGGTTTAGGGTTTAGGGCTCAGGGGGTTTAGGTTTAGGGTTTAGAGTTACACGAAACTAAACCCCAAACCCTGAACCTTAACCCTGAACCTTAAACGCTGAACCTTAAACCAACATCCTGAGCCTGAACCCTATACTGTATGGTTCTGAAAAAAAAAAGAGAGGCCGGACTCAGTGGCCCCACAGCAAAGGTGCCCCAAATCCCAAACATTACCCCTAAAACCCTAAACCCTAAACCCCAAACCCTAACGGAAACCTGAAAGTCTCGTGCGATGCCTACTCGTCTTTGGAGTTGTACCCGGTCGCTCAGGTGCCGCGGCCCTGCAGCCACGGCTTCGCAGTCTAGGCTTTTGGGGCTTAGGTTTTGCGATTTAGAGTTTAGGGTTATCTTTTGGGTTTGGGTGTTGCGGTTTGCGCTAAGCTCGTTTCATCGGGGTGATCATAGACTTGAGGGTTTAGGGTGCCCTGATTCGGATTTATAGGTTTTGGGGTTTAGGGTTCGGAACCCAGAAGCCGTGATGAGAAGACCATGGCATAAAACCCAAATCCCTAAACTAAACTCTAACCCCAAACCATGAACAACATCCCATACCCTGACCCTGATCCCTAATCCCTGAACCCTACCCCATCATCCCTATATCTCAGGCCCTAAACTCTAAACCCTACGACCCGTTACAGGAACCCTTCTAGGAACCTTTAAAGAAACCCTTACGGAACCCTTTAAGGAAACCTTAATCCCTAAACCCTACGCCCTCAGCCCCAAACCACACCCGCCTCGACCGCTGCTTCGACGCCGGCCTGGCAAGCCGCGGTTAAGCGTCGGTCCAAGTTCAGGGCTCAGAGATCAGGGTTCGGGGTTGAGGGTGTTAGGGTTCAAGGTTCAGGGTTGAGGGGTTTCGGGTTTAGGTTTGGGGTTTCTTGTTCAGGGTTGAGGGTTTTTGGGTTTAGGGTTTGAGGGTTTTTGCTTTTGATGTGCGGTGATGTCTGTCTGCTATTCCTAGCCTAAACCCTAAACCCTAAACCCCGAACCCTAAACCCTAAACTCTAAACCCTGAACCCTAAACCCAAGCATGAAACAGAACCAGCAAAGCTGTAGTCGACGATCCGCAGGACTCAACTGCTAGGGTTCGGGATGTAGGGCTCCGGATTTGGGTTTTAGGGTGCAAGGCTCCCTATAGGGTTTAGGATTTGGGTGATTCTCAGAATCAGGGTCCCTTTTAGGGTCCTTTTTTATAAGGGTGCCGTACTGTATTGGAGACCTAAAAAAGGACCCTAATCTGCAGAACCGTGGATTTAGGGTTTGGGTTTAGGGTTCCTTAGGGTTTAGGGTTTAGAGTTCAGCGTTCAGAGTGGATTAAATTAAGGGCAGAACCTCACGAAACATGGCTGTAAACATGGGGGGTTATTATTTTACTTTAATTACTAATTATAATAATGAACCCCCAAACCCTATTCTAATTATTCTAGCTATAAGAAAGAACCCCCAAACCCTATCCTAATTGCTCAGGCTAAACTAGTATAGGGTTTAGGGTTCAGAGTTTCTTCTTGAGGGCCTTCAGCTGTCATGACCTAAGTACCCTAGCCTAAAACAGGACTTGGGGTTTGGAGTGTAGGGTTTAGGGTTTAGGGGTTTAGGGTTTAGGGGTTTAGGGGTTTGGGATTTAGGGGTTTAGGGGTTTCGGGGTTGGTGTATATAAGCACCAAAAGGGTAGAGGTGACCTGGGAGGGCCTATGTTGTACTTTTGCACTGTATACTTAGCAGCCGTTCGGGACGCAACGCGGG